CATGATTGGCCTTTTTTTCTCTCTCTTTCCATCTTTCAATTATTCCAAATCATATGTTATCTGTCGAATGATTTTGTTAAAAATTTATGTACTTTTAGCTAAAAAACCTCTACCATCTAACCAATTGTATGCGAAAATGTCAGGAGTAAAACTCGACAATATAACGTTTGTACCAAACCAAAACCCTTCCATCATATTCACATTTTTTCGCAATTTCTATTCCAATAAATAAATACTCAAAACGGACGGAAAATACTGCGTACAAATCACACTTCTCTGTTTGCAGTGGTTGGGGAATTGCAGAGACCCCTCTGAGTTTAGGGTTTCATATCAATTTTTTTACACGCCGAGTGTGTGTTTATAAATTGTATATGTGTTTCTAGGGGTTTTTTTTTGCCCTAAGTTGTTCATTTTGAGCAGTTTACGGAAATGGCTGGAAAAACGGTGATCTCCGACGACGAAGGTAAAATTTTTGGACAAGTAATCGTATTTCGGTGTTGGGGATGCAAGAAATGTCATTTTTTTGTTCGAAATTTGGAAATTTATGTGAAATATATATATTTTTGGTGAAAGCAGATGAGGTTGAAGTGTACGAAGAAGAGAGAGACAATGAACCTGATGGAGAACGAGTCCATGGCCGCGATGACGATGATGAGGAAGATGAAGAAGAAGGTACAGGCCCCATGATTTTGCCATTTTCTTTCGAAATATTGATATTTACTTGTGTTAATATGGTTTTTTTCCTTTTTTTTGTGGGTTGAATGTCTGGTTTGTAGGCCTATATTTACATATTAGGCTTTGATCTTAGCTTGAAATTGCAATTTGGATCAAGTCATTATACGCCTCTCTCTTGCAGGCAATAAAAATTGCAATTTTTAGGTTTTCTACTTTCTATTGATTTCTGGATTTTTTGCGTGTTCCTATTATATTTTCTTAGGAATTAACTGTTATTGTAGATGAAGCTATACCCAGTTTCACAGCTTTTTGTTCTTTGCTATTTTTAACATCTGTTCTGGAAAATGTCCTCGGGATGAACAATTTTCTTCATGGTGGTGTTTCTGAGCAGAAGAAGGGCAGGATGAATATGAGAAAGATGGGTTTATAGTGGATGATGTCGAGGACGAAGAGGAAGAGGAGGAAGAAGATAGAGCTGACAGTGGCGAGGAGAGGCAGAAGAAGAAGAAAAGGAAGAAAAGGTTTTTTATTCATATATTGTTCATGTTTTTTCTTCTCATTTATGTTTGCTGTGAAATAACTGAAGAGTGAATCTGACTGTATAAACATTGATCAAACCATTAATAGAGAGTCCGAGTATATGCTTGATGAGGATGACTACGAGCTTCTTCAAGAAAGCAATATCTCTGTTCCTCGACCAAAACTTGTACGTTCTATGTGTGCATTCTTTGGTGGTTTTTGTGAAATTTAGGGTTGGCGGTTCTGTTAAATCCGTAATTTTTAATTATTTGCATTTTGTTAAAACTAATTAGGAGAGCAAGAAGTTTAAGCGACTGAAAAAAGCTCGGAGGGATACAGAGGAAGACACCTCTGGGTTTTCTGATGAAGAGGAGCTTGTTGGAAGTGGAAAGGGAGGGCATTCAGCAGAGGAGAAGCTTAAACGCAGCTTGTTTGGTGATGATGACGGTATATTTCATTCAAATTGTCCTTCATTGTTAGTATTTTCTGTTTGCTAACAATTTGTCTTGATGCGTCTGAAATATTCTAGGACAACCACTCGAGGATATTGCTGAGGAGGATGAACAGCTTGAAGAAGAGGATGCAGACATTGGGGAAGAGGATGAAATGGCCGATTTCATTGTTGATGAAGAAGAAGTCGATGAACATGGAGTTCCAGTCAGGTACATCGTCATCTTGGACGCCTGCAAGACATAGCTCTATGAATTGATTTTCTGAACTATTTGTGATGCAGAAGGAAGAAGCCCAAAAAGACTAGGAAAACCCCTGGGATCTCATCATCAGCTCTACAGGAAGCGCATGACATATTTGGTGATGTCGATGACCTTCTGAAGCTTCGCAAGAGGAGTTTAGCAATGAGGGGAAGGCATGAAGAATCTGGTGAATGGAAGGAAAGGAGGCTTGAAGATGAATTTGAACCTGTTATTCTCTCTGAGAAGTATATGACTGAAAAGGATGACCGGATTCGGGAAATAGACATCCCCGAAAGAATGCAGGTTTTCTATATTTTGAAGAATACTCATCTACCTGGTTTTCAATCCTGCTGTCATGATTATAATGCTTCCCATGCTCTTTGTAGATTTCCGAGGAAAGTACTGGTCCTCCACCTACAGACGAGTTGAGTATAGCAGAGGAGAGAGACTGGATATATGGTCAGCTCATCTACGGTGCTGTGCCTCTGTTTAACAAGAGAGGCACAACAACCGAGGAGCTCAATGAACTATCAGTAATCAAGGATGACATTGCGAGATTTCTGGAATTAATGCATGTACAGAAGTTGGATGTAAGCATCTTTTACTAACCGATGTTTACTTTGATATGTGCAGATGAACTCTACTGCTTGAGTAATAATTCATTCTGCTATATCATTAGGTCCCCTTTATTGCTATGTACCGGAAGGAGGAGATTTTGAGCCTATTGAAGGATCCAGATCAGCCGGAAACGGACATGGAGAGCCTAAATGATCCTAACCAAAAACCTAGACTAAGGTGGCACAAGGTAGGTATCAGAAATTTGATTTGCATATTATATTTTTAATGTTGAACTTCTTATGTACAAGATTACTTAGATATGTCATCGAGTGATGTGCTGTAGGTTCTTTGGACGATCCTGGACTTGGATAAAAAGTGGCTTCTTCTTCAGAAACGGAAGAGTGCCCTTGAGACATACTACAACAAGCGCTTTGAAGAAGAGTCACGCAGAGTATATGATGAGACACGACTCAATTTGAACAGGCAGCTTTTTGAGTCAATTACGAAGTCACTTAAGGCAGCTGATTCAGAAAGAGAGGTTGATGATGTTGATTCAAAATTTAACTTGCACTTCCCCGCTGGTGAGTCTGGTGCAGATGAAGGGCAGTTCAAGAGGCCAAAGAGGAAATCACAGTATAGCATTTGCAGTAAGGCTGGCTTATGGGAAGTTGCGAACAAGTTTGGATATAGCTCTGAGCAGTTCGGGTTGCAGATATCTCTGGAAAAAATGGTATGTTTGTTTTTCCTTTTGATTGCACTTGTCTTAAACTAGGAGATTAAGAGGGTTTGTAATTTTTTTTTTGCAGAGGATGGACGAATTGGAGGATGCTAAGGAAACACCAGAAGAAATGGCTTCCAATTTCACTTGTGCGATGTTTGAGACTCCCCAGGTTGTGCTTAGAGGTGCTAGACACATGGTATGCTGATAAATCTGTGATATTTGCCATAATTTGGGTGATTCTTTGAGGATCTTCAGTATACTTGTTAATTTTTAACTTCACTTACCAGGCTGCTGTTGAGATTAGCTGTGAACCATGTGTACGCAAACATATTCGTAGTATCTTTATGGAAAATGCCGTCGTGTCAACAAGCCCTACACCTGATGGAAATGTTGCTATCGATTCTTTCCACCAGTTTGCTGGAGTGAAATGGTTGCGGGACAAGCCGCTTACAAGATTTGAGGATGCACAGTGGCTTCTAATTCAAAAGGCTGAACAGGAGAAGCTCCTGAAAGTTACCATTAATTTACCGGAACCAATCCTTGATAAGTTAATAAGTGACTCTAACGATTATTATCTGAGTGATGGTGTGAGTAAATCTGCTCAACTGTGGAATGAGCAGAGGAAACTGATCCTTCAAGATGCATTTTCTAATTTTCTTCTACCTTCAATGGAGAAGGAAGCAAGATCCTTGTTGACTAGTAGAGCAAAAAACTGGTTGCTCTGGGATTATGGAAAGCTTTTGTGGGACAAAGTTTCTGTGTCACCATATCAACGAAAGGAAAATGATGCTAATTCTGATGAGGAAGCTGCACCCAGGGTTATGGCTTGTTGTTGGGGCCCTGGAAAGCCAGCGATAACTTTTGTGATGTTGGATTCATCTGGAGAAGTTTTGGATGTTCTGTATGCGGGATCCCTCTCGGAAGCACCAGTTTTACAATTACATCAGCAACGTAAGAAAAATGATCAGCAGCGGGTTCAGAAGTTTATGATGGACCACCAACCGCATGTTGTTGTACTTGGAGCTGTGAATTTGTCTTGTACAAGGCTTAAGGAGGATATTTATGAGGTATTCATTATTGAACTATTTTTTGTCATTGTTCGATGTCACCTTGGATAGTGAAACTATTATTTTCTTTTGAGAACTCTTAATGCCATGGGATTCATGTGATGTTGCTGTTAAGGAAAAATTCCTCCATTGATAGTTTTTTTAATCAAAGTTATAGATGATTTTTGACCGTTTCACCCCCTTCTCAATTATCAGATCATCTTCAAGATGGTAGAGGATAATCCTAGAGATGTTGGTCACGAGATGGATAATCTGAACATTGTATATGGTGATGAGTCTCTTCCGCATCTATACGAAAATTCCCGCATCTCAACAGATCAGCTTCCTGGACAAGCAGGTTCTTTCTTTACTGAAATTATGAGTTACTTGTGCAATACTGTTGAGAATGCTTATCTTGTCCTTAATGTGTAGGTATTGTCAGGCGAGCTGTGGCTCTTGGGCGCACTCTTCAGAATCCACTAGCGATGTTTGCTACATTATGTGGACCAGGAAGGGAGATATTATCCTGGAAACTTAATCCTTTGGAGAGCTTTCTTACTCCTGATGAGAAATATGGGATGGTGGAAGAAGTTATGGTGGATGTAACCAATCGAGTGGGTCTTGATATCAATTTGGCTGCTAGTCATGAATGGCTGTTTGCTCCTCTGCAGTTTATTGCTGGGCTTGGTCCTAGAAAAGCAGCATCTTTGCAGAGGTCTTTAGTAAGAGCAGGAGCAATTTTTACTAGAAAGGACCTACTGACTGCTCATGGTCTTGGTAAAAAGGTGTTTGTTAATGCAGTTGGATTCCTGCGAGTCCGACGCAGTGGATTGACTTCTAGCAGTAGTCAATTTATTGATCTTTTAGATGACACAAGGATACATCCAGAGTCCTATGGCCTTGCGCAAGAGTTGGCCAAAGATATTTATAGGGAGGATGGCAATGATGATGCAAATGATGATGAAGATGTGCTAGAAATGGCAATTGAACATGTTAGAGAAAAGCCAAATCTATTGAGGTCAGTTGATATCCACGAATATGCTGAACATAAGAACCGTCTGAATAAAAAAGAAACCCTTAATGATATAAGATTGGAGTTGATGGAAGGCTTTCAAGATTGGCGCATACCATATGTAGAACCAACTCAAGATGATGAGTTTTGCATGATTTCTGGAGAGAAAGAAGAAACGTTGTCTGAAGGAAGAATTGTGCAAGCAACAGTTCGCAGAGTTCAAGCACAGAAAGCAACTTGTGTCCTTGAATCTGGATTGACAGGCTTGCTTAATAAGGAAGATTACACGGATGATTGGAAGGATATAAATGAACTGACTGATAAGTTGCGTGAAGGCGATATTTTAAGTTGCACTTAGTTTAGTTAAGTCTTTTTAGCATATCAGGTGTTTTTAACTTGTAAAGAGAGTGAAATGAGAAGCAACCGCTTCCAGAATCATCGAAACATGGATCCCTATTATCATGAAGAGCGCAGCGGCTTACAGAGTCAGCAGGAAAAAGCTCGTAAAGAGAAGGAGCTTGCTAAGAAGCATTTCAAGCCCAGGATGATAGTTCATCCACGTTTTCAGAATATTACTGCCGATGAAGCAATGAAGGTTGTTACTACTGTTACATTCTTTCACGAAATTACCTTTTGTGTTTGTGCTACATATGCATAAATACACATCTTGGCATATTATGTTGTGGAGTTGTATTTGCAGCAGTATATGATAACGTGATGTACAAGTAACGTACGCATAACGCTAGGTAACATGTATGAATCAGATAGGGAATGTCTGAAGTTGCCTATTTATGTTTCTTGATTGCATGTTTCATTTGTAAGATTTGACTTATTTAGGTACTCTTTTTCAGTGGAAGGTGATTGCTCACATTTAAGTGATCCCCTCATAAAAGTTCATAGAAGTATGCGCTCCACTTAATGCAGAAACGTCTTTAACATAAAAATCTATAACATTTCTGTGACTTATAAGCTATAACCTGTGATTTTAGGTAGGATGCAGTGTGAAATTTGGCTATTTGAGTTAATATATTCGTGAATTGTTATATAATTAGCACCTCTTGGTTTTTGTTTTATGTAATTATGTCCTAATCAAGTTTATGTTCTCTTCTCTTTTTCTTTTTCCTTTTTTGACCCTTTCTGGGTACAGTTACTGTCTGACAAGGAGCCTGGTGAAAGTGTTATCCGTCCAAGTTCTCGGGGACCTTCATTTTTGACTTTAACTCTTAAAGTTTATGATGATGTTTTTGCTCACAAGGACATTGTTGAAGGTGGAAAGGAACACAAGGATATCACAAGCTTGCTTCGAATAGGGAAGACACTAAAAATCGGAGAAGATACATTTGAAGATTTAGATGAGGTAAGTATATGAAGTGTTGTATTACAGAGAATTGCTGATGTCTTTGGGGTAATGCAATCTAGCCAGTATTGATTAGAAGATATGCCAGAATGCTGCCAACTGCAAGATATATTGCCGTGCTTTAGAAATGTTTCTCAATATAGTTCTGCCATGTCTATGTATGAGTGTTAGCATATTTTTCTATCGTTATAGCTGATTATTCCATATTGCAGAAGTTTGGAAAGAAAGCAAACTTTTCCTTCTCTCGTTGTTTGATACATATTTCAAGTTGTTTGGTGAAAATAACTAGGAAAATAGAATGATCTGGTAATGCTTGGTTCAAGACATTTTTACTTTTATTTTTGATAAAATATCTTGCCGCTCTTTACATGCGGTCACTTGTAAATTGAATACTTCCTACAGACAGATTTTGTTTTCTCAGTGTACTCGTTAGAAATGTACCTCTGTGAACATAAATTTAATCATTTTCGCTGTATTTCTGAAGCATGAAAGAAAGCAAACACTTCTCTCTATGGCCTTTTTCAAGTTTGTTTGGTGAAATACCTAGGCTGGAATAAAGGTTCTGGGTATTGCTTGGTGTAGACTTTCTTTTTCCACTTGTTCAATAATATCTCTCGTCTTCATAATTAATTACTTCTTCTAGAACGGGTTCATTTTCTCAACTTAATCCAAATGTTAGAAATCTACTATTGTCAACATTATTAAATCCGAGGTATGATCTAGAATCTTCCCCACAGGTTCTAAATTATCATTTATACTTCCTGTTTGATTAACTTCGTTTTCTACATCTTCTTTACAAATCTGAAGGATCATGGTTTTTTGTTCTTGATACAGGTAATGGATCGTTACGTGGATCCGTTGGTATCCCATTTGAAGGCAATGCTAAACTACCGCAAGTTCAAGAGGGGCAATAAAGCAGAAGTTGATGAGTTCCTGAGGATCGAGAAATCGGAGTACCCAATGAGGATTGTGTATTGCTTTGGGATATCCCATGAACATCCTGGCACATTCATACTGACTTATATACGGAGTTCAAATCCACATCATGAGTACATAGGTCTTTATCCAAAGGGATTTAAGTTCCGAAAAAGAATGTTTGAGGACATTGATCGCCTTGTAGCATATTTTCAGAAACACATTGATGATCCGCATGATTCGCCATCAATTCGATCAGTTGCTGCTATGGTGCCAATTAGAAGTCCTGCAACTGGGGGCTCATCAGGCGGTGGATGGGGTGGTTCAGGGAATGATGGTGGATGGAGAGGAGGCCAGTCTTCAGACAGAGATAGAACTCCGGGTTCTAGAACAGGTATGCTAGAAGAACTTATTCATGCTTGCAGCACTATGCATACATGATATTCAATGCAACTATTGTAAGTTTGTTCCTTTTCACGCTTCCTTTTGAGTGATTGGTTGTGTGATTCTGCCTTGAGATGTTTTGCTTTGCTAACTTTACTTTTACTATGCTAACTCTTAAGTTGCTGGTGCAAGAACTCTTTGATACTTTGCCTTGTAGCTTAATTTTTAGTTGACTCTTGATGTGGACAAGAATGGTAAATTTGATGGGTTTTCATATTATTCCCTTCTGCTCCTCTCGACCTTCTGTACAATCTATTGAAAGGTTAATTGAGTCCCACAAGTAAACCCCATCCCCAATCCTCCACCCGCAAGAGTGGGATGTGGTTTTGGTGATAAGTTATATGGAAAGGAAGAACCCACTAACAACTTCACGGCTGCAAAGATTTCTTATGGATAATGTCTTAACTACTTGCCATATGGGACCAACCTTGTATATTAGTTTCTCTGAAAATCGAATGTTAGAATTTGATTGATTTTTTTATATATTCTTTTTAACTTTTAAATTATATATTTCTTTTTCTTCTCTAGCTAGATTGATAGCCTGTGCCTAAGGAACTAACAATTTACAGGAGCCTATTTGTTTGAGGGGTGAGATATGTCTGGGTGACTGGCTTGGGGTGGGTTTTAATTGCTAGAGAGGCTGAAGGCAGCCTGTGTTTTGTGGAGTGGAGAGGCTGAGAAGGCAGGACAGGCAGGACTGTTTAAGGGATGGGGTTGGAGGTCATCTGGTGACTGGTGGAGAGGTTGACAGAGATTACTAGAATTGGGGTTCATAAAGCGTGAAATTGCCTGCAGTTGTTGAAAGATTCTTGGGTTTATTTCTAGTTTCAGTTTTTCCAAGTATCTAATCTTCTTCGTTTTGTTGATGACCGAGTTTTCTCTAATTTTATCCTTCCATGTTTTAATCTGTCTAGTTTTGTTTGGTTATAGGTAGAGGTGACTACAGAAATGGTGGCAATCAGGACGGGCATCCAAGTGGAGCACCTAGACCATATGGTGAGCGTGATGGTGGCCGCGGCCGTGGCCGCAGCCGTGGGCGTGGCCGAGGTGGCAGAGGCAATGACAGGCAGGATTCGGACCATGGATCGCAAAGGTGGGGTTCTAAGGATGGTGATGATGGTGGTGGTTGGAGTAGTTTTCCTGGAGCAAAAGTTCAGAATTCACCAGGCCGGGAAGCTTTCCCTGGTAGCTGGGGTGGCGGAAGTGGCGGTGGAAGCGGGGGCAGTGATTGGGGCAACTCTGGTGGTGGCTGGGGGCAGGGAAGTGGTGGCGGTGGTTCAGATGATGCTGATGCAGAAGGTGGTAAATCTGGATGGGGTGGCAGCAAAAAGAGTTCCGGGCAATCACAATCTGGTAATGATGGATGGGCCGGTGGCAGCGGCTGGTGAACGTTGATACCGAAGTATCTACCTCCATTGGAATATAGTGGATTTAAGCTTTGAGTGGCAGGTGGTTGAGCTAATTAATTTTGTAATCCCATTGTCACTAGACGTGGCATATTTCCCATTGCTATGTATGCAAACACCTAATCCTTTTAGTTATTTCAATGCACTATGGTAGTTCTATCTGTCTCGAATTGTTTATTACTGTAGCGGTAGAGTGCTAGTAGATAAGCTTAGCCTACAGAAAGCTCACAATGTTTCTCATGGCAATGCTATTGTTGGGTTTGAAAGCATTGTGCAGTAGCAATGAAAAGATGAAAATGTTAAAATGTTGGTTGTCATTATGTAGTGGGGTTTAGTGCTATGCATTAAACTTGTCCAGATATAACTAATACAGGAATTTGGACTTACTGCAAGTTAAAATGTTGGTTGTCATTATGGAGTGGGGTTTAGTGCTATGCATTAAACTCGTCCAGATATAACTAATACAGGAATTTGTTCATTTACTTTCTTGACTTAACTGCAAAAATTAATGGCATGTTCGTATGATGGATTCAACAGAACATAAGTTAAATTGTCACACGTTTCTCTTATTTAGGCCTTGTTTGAGTCAAATTATTGTAGAATGAGAATGAAAAATATAGCCGTTATTGAGGTTCACATAAGGAATAAAAAATTTAAATTTAAATTTTAATGTGATGGATAACGGTCATATTTAGTTTAGTTGTCTAGTAGTCAGAAGTTAATGATATAGTATAGTTGTCTAGTTAGGGCAGGTGTTCATATATGTTGGCATTATCCCTAAGTTGTTACCTACGATCAGCATGATGCAACCTAATAATATAGTATAGTTGTCAAGGCAGGTGTTCATATATGTTGGCATTATCCCTAAGTTGTTGCCTACAATCAGCATGATGCAACCTAGAACACTGTCGAATAAGAATAATGTCTTATTCGTTCATAGCTCCTTGGCCTTAATAGTTGTATACGTTTTTCTGCATCCATTACTAAATGAGGGAACTATTGGAAAGGACAAAAAGAATACAAGAAACCATCCCTCGAGACATTTACTAGGTAGCAACAGAATATGTTTGCCTCTACAAGGAAATATTAGAGAAAATTCAACTTGAAGCTAAGCATAAAGAAATAGGACCAAACAACACTAAGTCATAGAATGCCTCGCTTATGACGGAATTTTTTCTTTGTTAATCACTGCCCAAAGTTATGGACTTGTCCATATTACAAACTACCAAAATTTTAGAACAATTTTAGACAAGAAGATGGATAACATAGAAATTAACAAAAAACTTGATGGAACGCTCAAAATATATGTCCAAATAAGCTTGAGAGAACCTCAATAATCAAAACCCAACTCTTTCAAAATTGATAGGTACTTTCTGGCTCAATTTCATATTCTTTTGATTGCAGTTTGTCCCTTTAAAATCTTTTCATTTGAATTTTGGGTATTCTGTTATCTGTTGGTTATGAATATAAAGTAAATTTTTATAGAGATGTTTAGACTGCCTAGTTCTTTGATTATTAGCTTTTCTGCTTGCTAAGATCATATATCTGTAGCTCTTTTGGCCGAAAAAGTAAATGGAATTTTGCTGTATGATAGAAACAATGTTTTTATGCAGCCAAATATCTTTTCTTTTGCTACTAACTGAATTGAAATTATTAATAATCAACAATATGAAGTCTTTTAGGCGTTTTTCTGTTATGTATGGAGTCAGCTACGTGAATTCTTTTAGCCACTATGTTCAGTTCATTGCTAAGGGCTTGTGTGGGAGGGATTAAAATCAGATTAAAATTGAAAATATAGCCGTTATTGTTGACTTTTATTAGACGAGTGGGGTCCAATAACGGCCATATTTTCAATTTTAATTGGCTTTTAATCCCTCCCGAACGGGGCCTAAATAAACTTGAAAATCCCAAACAAAGGGATAAAGTGTGCATGGGATATGACAGAATTCTTAAATCTTTTGAAGTTCTTTAGATTTCATGTGCAAAATCCCTGTTGAATAATTAACCTTCTGTTTCTGAAGGTGCAATTCAACGTCTAGCAGTAACCAATGTGTACAAACAATCAGAAGGTGCTAATTATACAAGATGCATCGAAAGAACTACGTACCGTTTCCATTAGAGAAGCCATGCTCAGCTTGTCACTTGCGCCTGGTGCCAAAGTCAAGCTTCTTGGAATTATACCAGCTTTCAGGACTGTCAATAGATTTTATCCTCCACGTTTTGGGATTGGTACTAATTCTTGGATTTGTTGAAAATAAGTCCTCAGAATATGAGTATAATCGTGACGCATCATTTGTTGCTGTCAAAAACTACATAAACTTCTTGGATTTTGTTTGTTGGTGCTGTTTTCTTAATAGGTTCTTGGTTTTCTATAGGATTCAAAAGCAGGTTGCATTCAAGTGCAACGATGAATAAGAAAAAAGAAGACATCAAACAAGAAGTTCAACAGATGATAGATGAATATTCAACATGTTCACATATTGCAAGGATTTGGAGGCAGGCTGAAATACAAAAGGTTAGTGTTAAAACATGAATATAATTTTTCAGTATGTACATAGCAAATTGATTACATATTAATCAAATATCTCCATTCAAAGGTCTAAGATTTGCGCTTCTGTCTAAACTATGAAATTTTATTAATGTACATGTAGGTTGAGTTCGTCATAGAAGTTGAGGCAGGGTTGCTAAAAGAGGTTGCCGTGGAATATGCCAAAAGCTATGGAGCTACACACGTGATCCTTCCAAGGTACTCCATAATTTTCAATAAGGTACGTTTCTAGCTAATTTGTTTCAAATTCAACTCATACTTGGCTTGTTCAAACCTGATTTCCACAGGGACCTCAAGAAAAATAAGAAATATTTCATGGACAACCTATCTTGTGCAATATATAGGATGAAAACTGATAGTAGCGTTGAGACTGTGAGAGGAGTCGAGGCTGCTGAAGTTAGTGTATTGTCCTCAGGCAGACATTTCAACACAGAAACTTGTAAGTGAATATGGTCCATACCGTTCATATATACTTTAGAGAATTCATAAACAGAAAGTTCATCCATTTTGATGTGCAGGCGAACAACGAGAAGAGATATTTGAAAATTCTGTTTGTTCAGTGTGCATGAACAGAAGGCCAAGGATTGGTGGAGAAACAAGAGACTTCGCTTTTGCTGAGTTGCATTTGGCAACAAATGGATTTTCCGAGAAAAATTTGTTACCTATTCGAGGGAAGCAAATCTATAGAGGTCAATTAAATGATCTACAGCTAATTACGATAAGAGAACACCCTTTGAAAACCATTAAAGAAAAGGATTTTAAGACAGGGGTTCAGATCCTTGGGAAATTCAGACACGAAAACGTGGCCATGCTCTTAGGATCATTTGCAAAAGGAACGCATAGGTTGCTAATCTATGAATTTGTCTGCAATGGATCTCTGAGCAAACATCTATCTGGTAAAGGCATTATTGAACCACCTCATCTAAGAGTTTAGGCTGTTAAAGAACGAACACGTTTATTCAGCACTTGTTTATGCAGACAAAAGAAGGGAATTCACGTGGGAAAGAAGAATAAAAATAGCTCATGGAGCAGCTAAAGGTTTGGAATATTTACATGGAAAACAGATTTATGGAAGTGTGAGGCCAAGTAACATCCTCATTACACATGATTACCATCCACTGGTAAATTTAATTTATTAATCCTATTCTGGATTACATTGAATTGCCTTTTACGCAAAATTAATGTTTCTTATGCCACTATTCTGTGTCATGGACCAGCTGTCGTATTTTGGGCTTGCTAGAAGTCGATACGAAGATATAGATCAGTCTTCAGAAACACGGGTGCTAAAGACTTTTGAATACTTGCCCCCAGAATATGAAGGAACTGGCATAGACTTGAGCAAAGCAGATGTATATTCCTTTGGGGTTGTCCTTCTCGAGCTAATCACTGGTCGAAAGACGATTGAAGATACAGACGGCCAAAGCTTCTTGAGATGGGTAATGACTTCAACATTCTTATTTTGTAGACAATTGCTCGAAATCATAAAAGTAATATCATCTTATTTCTTGGCAGGCAAGACCATCCCTTAGACAGAAGAAGTACATGGAATTGATTGATCCCCTAGTCCAGGATAGTGTTGATCTTTACCAGCTATACTGGATGGTTCGTGTTACAGATAAATGCCTTAGCTGGGATCCCAATAGTCGACCATCGATAAATAAGGTGATATTCCTCTGCAACCAAACTCATGAGAAGAGTGAGAATTCACTTTGTGAAACTTTTGCATTTTACTTACTGATTATTTTCTTGGATGAATTTACTTCAGCTGGTGAAGGACCTGGAATGCATAGTTAACCATTGTGGCGCTGAAGACTTCCCTCCTACTGAATCTGAACTAATGGCTGCAACAGTTAGGTAGTGGAATATAAGCCGGCTATAAGCAGTAGTGTTCGAATATTCTGATTATGTTGTACCGACTTTTTTTTGTTCAAAACTGCTGTTCTGAGGCAGCAAATACATGTAATTATTATTTTATGTGCTGGTTCCATGGCTGGAGCAAATTAAACTTTTCACAGTTTCAGATATGCAGAAACCTAATGCTTTAGACTATTAGCCTTGGCTTTGAGCAGGGTGTGATATTTTGAAGTTTTTTGCGATGAAAAAACCCATCAAATGCATTTAAGTTCCTTATTCTAACTCATTTATTTTAGAAAAAAATTCAACAGAAGATATAAACTAGAAGAAACTTCACACCAGCAGGAAGAGCATAAGGCAAATTGGAATACTAAAATTAATAGGAATTACAAGAAACTTCAACGTTTAATCGTGTTGCTTTGCTAATCTATTTATTTTTTCATACACACTTAACCATCACGATGAAAAACATTTCTGTAAACGCGAACCCTGTACTAAAGAGTAGAAGCATCGTGGTATAAGAAATTCACGAGCTACACGCTTAGACACTACGGATATGAAAAGAAACAAAAGTCATTTTTACAGAAAATGTCCAAAAACAGTGTGTTTTTTTTTTCTAAAAAGGATTACATTTGTAAAATGTTTCTTTTCTCTGTCGTTTTTTGTTCATTATGAGAAGTTAAAATCGACGCAACGTTGGGTTCAAGTTTCAACCAAATTTATGAAATGCAGGATGGATAAAAATTCTAATTAGTAAACGAAGGCTTTATTGAAAATGACGAGAATCCAAGAATTCATCCCTCAAAACAAAATATATAGCCTCCACAAGAAAACAGTGATAATTAATTTGAGGATTTGTCTTCAACTGATCACAGCAAGAAACCAATCTCTTCACTTATATCAAGGAAATTTTCTTTGTTATAATCTTTACAATGTAAATGTCTTGTCCCATGTTACAAATTTCCAACTTTTTTAAGAAGAAATTGATGTTGTCAAAAAATATGTACAACATGAAAATTAACAAAAAATATATGTTTTACAGACTTGAGTGAAGTTCAATATACAGGATCCTACTCTTTCACAATTGCGGCTCTTCAGGTACTTTTCTGGGCTACAATTTGTTCATTGCAGTATTCGACCCCGTGAAATCTTCCATAAAAAATTTTGTTATTCTTTATTTATGATTGTTATATTGTTTAAAATGTCTAACATGGCATGTTGTGGTTGTCAATGATTGACGAAAAAATTCTTGTAGCGACCTCAAATTTTTTAAGAACAAGACTCGTTTGTTGTTAATTCAGCTTCCTAAAAATCTTCTGCCTTTTCTCTCTCTCTCTTTTTTTTAACGTTGCTGAAGGTGAAATTCATTTAAATCCAACCAAAAAAATGTCTACACACACTCAGAGGATGCTAATTATCCAACATGCTTCTGAAGACCTTGGCTTCAAAACCTTGAGAGAAGCTGTCCTTTTACTTAAGCCTGGTGACAAAGTCCTGGTTCTTGCAATTATACAGCAGGCCGCATCCTCTGCGGTTCAAAGTAGAAAATTACAAGGTACAATTTCATTGATTTGTCAGGAAGAAATGGTAGTAAGAAATGAGAATATATACCAAACATCAATACACATGCATGTGAACATTCTTGCGAAGTTGCAGATAACGAGAAGTTGAAAGACATCAAAGAAGCAATTAAACAGAAGCAGGATAAATACTCAAACTGCGCAGAGATTGAAGGGATTCGAATATTGGCTGAAGCGCGACAGGTTATAGATCATAACCTTCAACACATGCAATTTTATTGGCTTCCATGTTTTACATTTCACATTGAACTATTTCATCTAAAATCTTAAGTTTTTCTAGAGTAATCACTGTCACGTTATCAAATAGATTATAAATAAATTTTTTTTGTTGGATAATGAGGAAATAGCCCAGTGATTATATCCATTAGAGATGAAAAAACTTCCCAAGCATGCTCAAACAAATCATGCAACTACAGCAAGTTGCAGCCCCAACCCCCACCAGTCTACCCAGAATTTGTGGATAAATTATGATGTTTGATGGTGTATATATAGGTTGAATTCGACATAGCAGTTGAGGCGGGGTTTCTGAATGAGGTTGCGGCTGAATATGCCAAGAAAATTGAGGCAACACGCGTGATCCTTCCAAGGTATTATGTAATTTTCATTCACTATGATACTTATCATGCCTTTTTTTCTTCCATTTTCTTTATCGCACTTGCATGTATATCTTCTCAATCAGGGAAGAAGAACTTAAAATTTAACCGCCATTTGCCAATATTAGCAACTTCAGGTGCTGAAGTGCATACAAGTAGTAGAGACTGTACACAAGTTGTTCGGCAAAATTTATGACTCAAATCATCCTTCCACGTCCTTTTTTGAGGACCCAAAAATCGAACATATTTCTAGGACGTGTTTTAACGGGAATGGGATGGGGGTTTAGGAATGTGGCTTTGATGCCACTATCTAAGACTATTGCGTTTTGTCAAAGAAATTTAGAATTGGTGATTACGATGCTTGAGGATTTATAGTTTCAGGAGTAGCCCCTGCAGGGCATATAGCAGCTACACAGCCTGCTAGACTAGCTTCCTTTGGATGCAGTCCCGACAAGCAACCATAGCGCGAGCAGCAGCCAGACGCAGTCTATAACACCGAGTCTCAGCCAGCCGCTGAAGTCTGCAGCAACCCAGGCGCAGACAGCGTCAGTCAGCTGGAGCTACTAGAAGCAACTACCAACAGGCAGCCATAGTCATCAACAGTAGCCAATTACAACACCAATCACAGTAGGCTGTCCCTTGACTTGGAGACTATCACCTCAGCATGGCACTCTTGAGATTCATTTTCAGTTCTCAAAGTCGAAGTGCAGAATTTCACTTTGTATAGGTCTCGCCATTTAGGAGTCCAGAGATTAGCAGAGACCTACGTGAGTCTTCTCTCATAGGTCTCTGAGCTCAAAGTCAATGTCGTCTACAACTCCTGCTGCTCATACTTCCAAAGATGAGTAGATGTTTTAGACGTTTTTCTTCAGCCTTCACTAGCAAAAATCTAGTTCCAAGTCAGGAGACAAGCACAAGCTAAGACATAACGAGTCTTGATACTAAGACGATGATAGGTCATAATATCACATCATTATATTATCATCGCGATTATCTTTTATTATCATGTCATCATTATCATATTGTTTTTCCCTCCTCACTAAGTTTAACACATCATCACCTTAGTCGAAGGAGGCCAGGTATTAGCACTATAAGAGACCACAAATGTCCAAATTAAACAACATGAAATTGAATGATTTTTTTTTTCAATATGACATTATATATATAATAGATGAAATTGTTTAAAAATAGCAGAATGCAGGAATCTGACTAAGAGTTAACATGTGCTGAAATTTTGGTTGCCAAATCTAAGAATTTCAATAGCTTATCGTTCTCTGAGTGAGTCTAACTCTGCTTTATAATTCTGTATTTTGTTGTTCTGAACTTTTAGTGCAGTCCTTATGTTTGTGTTGGTAAGTGTGTTGCAGGAGGTTCTCAGCCTTGCAAGGAGAGAAAAATCTAGCGTACTCCGGTAATAACCCTCTCAGAGAGAGATTATTGCACGATAAGCGAGCAGAATTTGTTTCCCCTGGACCTCAATTATCTTCGAAAATAGCTAATCGAGGTAATAGAGTATGCACTCTTTTGCCTTTTAACTTTGCTGTATTAATTATCATTGAGCCAAGTTAATTCACTTGTATCTGTCAATACAGGAAAAGGTCGCCCCAACATCCGACCACTGGCCCAGAAACTCCCAAAAAAGGTTTGTGCTAGAAGGAGTTCTGACACAAGTTCAAGCATTCTACCTCCACGAAAGTCAAATGGTTTCCGCCGTTTAAAAAGGGTGTCTTCCAGTAGCTCCTCTCTTCCTTCGAAGAAACAAAGGGTGGAAGATCAGCCCTTCATTGGCATACAACCCGCCTTTTTGGACAGGTTGAATGCTGAACTTGAGGTCTCAGACACAGTTAATAGCATCATCAAGAAATTCTGGCTTCAGAAGCACTCCGAGAAGTTGCAGGGTCTTGAGGACAGTCAGGTCAAGATTGGAGCCCTTAGAAACATGGTGAAGGCCATGATATATACCATTGAAGACAAAAAGAGGTCTTCTAAGCTTTTGAGAAAAACTGAAGGCTTGGTTGATGAGAAGGCGAAGCTGCTAAAAAAGGTTGGTGAACTGGAGGATGAACTGAGTATTCTGAATAATTTGAAATACAAAATGCAGACTAGGCTGAATAGGCGTGACGCCAAGATTGTTAAACTAAAGGCTAGGGTTAAGGCCCGGGAGGGTGAAACTGAGAAGGCAAAGAATGAAGCTACTGCGGCTATAGAAGACTTCAAGGAAACAGAAGAATATAGAGCTTTGAGGGAAGAGTTATACCATGCAGCGATTGATTCAATTGCTGCAGCTCGACCTGACTACGACATCAGCTTCTTACACTCTTCCCGCGAGGACGAGAATGAGAACGAGGACGAACTATCGACTGACGAAGATCTTGAGGATTGGAAAACGGCAGAGAACTGTTGAAATGAGAGATATGCCTTGAGTTTGTGAATGATTATCCAATGTTAAGGTGGTCACTGTTCCATTTCCATGGGAAACCATATTTATTCTTCCTTAAAAGGGTTGTTTCGTTATATCAATTTGAGCTTGGGCCATAAAGTTTATGTAATTGAACTTGAAATTGTCTCTACTTATATTGGGCTTTTAGGTTCTTCTTGGGCTCAAGTTAATCTTTTACTTGGGCTTTCTGTAAGAGTGAAAAACAATGTTTGAAGATGCGTCATCCTCACGTCATGACTTCTTTTTTTAATTTGAAAATTGTTAATTTTTGTCTTCTAGAAAAAGCTTTGGCTTTGTGATCCCACGATCTAATCCTCAATCACATCAACTTATGTCATCCAAACCTTTTTCCATTTTTTTCCTTTCTTTTAGTCAAAATTATTTTGACAATATTGTGACAACGAATACTTATCCAAATAATCAATTATTCGTTTCGTAATTGGGTATCAACACGTAAACAGTCAATTCACTGTTGTGAATCAGTAAATTTTTTTTTTTTTTGACTCGTACGATGAAAAACTATTTTACGTCCGCATAACATTTCAAGTCATTTGATTCATTTAATATGAGTTATACCTAGATTAACATGAGCTCTATTTATTTATTTGTGTCGGCCAGACTTGCTCTGTCACACTGTTATATGTCTATGTTGACATTTCAAGCCCTTCATATCTCAATATTAACATTGTATTACACATAAAAACATTTCGTTTGACAAAATATTGTATTTCATGGCTCAAATAGAAGCTGGAAATATATAGGACCTAGTTCTTTTGGAAAAGATTCTAGTGGACCCACACTGCAATATTGGATAAATCTTCTGCTACATAAAACAATCATGGAAAGACGCGTGTCGATACTTGGACAGTTTGAATAAAAAAAAGAAAAACCCAAACATTTTGGTGCTGTCGAGTCAATCTGTTTTTTTCCCCATCTTTTAACATGTTCAATCATCGTTACTGTACATGAGAAGAGGACCACATAAAGGCCCATAGGCCCCCGAGGCCCAGGTATAGGACTTGGGCCTATCCCCCACCCCCTCACTATATACTCCCCCCTCTCCCCCGCACTCCTTCATATTTCTTCTGGAAATTCCGGGTTATTCATTTTTTTTGTAAGGAAAAGTTGGGATAATTGTGTTTAATGGCTTCTTCTGAGAGTTTTGTCACTGTCGAACAACCATGGACGTTCCAGCGATCATTTAACGACTCTTTGGTTTCCGAATTCTACAAAAAAGAGAATGAAGCGCTCACGAAAGCCTTGCAAATGTCATTTACAGGTGGTGTCGCCGCAGCCGACACGGCGGCATCTCTCTTGGTGAAGCCTGAAATGGTTCCGTTTCAAACACCTACGGCCTCGGGCGGTTCAGAAAGTGAAGCCCCGGTTTTGAAACCAAGGACCGTTGGGTTGACCAGGAAGATTACCAAACGGAAGTCACGTGCGAAAGGTGCAACGACGACTTTTATAACAGCCGATGCTGCGAATTTCAGACAAATGGTACAGGAGGTGACTGGTATGAGGTTCGGTGGCTTGAACGTGCAGGTGCCAGTTACTCAAGTGCTGAAGCCTGAGCCTCAGAGGCTAGTCAACCGGCTGCAGTCGAGTGGAGGCTTGCATACTCTTGACACGTCATCTTTTCTTCTGGGCCAAACTCACCACCAGCAAGTAGACCCAGCTTCATATTTGGTGTCCCAGCCACCCGTTGCTAGTTCTACGCCACCTCCCGCGGTTGTTACTGATGGTGGCTCGGGTGGGCTTGACTTCAACTCTCTTTGTAACTTCCCCACACTTGAATCTTGGAAAGTCATGTAATGTGGTGCAAATGACTAATGAGGTTAACTTTTTTCCGGGACCGCTCCAATCAGTGACGTTATCGGATCATTAAGTTCGACTTAATTCCGATTTCTTTTCTTTTTTTATTTTATTTTGTGTAAAGGAATCTGTGACAGGGGTAAACTGGGAAAAGTAGTTAATATTTTGGGATATGGCTTGTTTGAATGGAACACTATTGTATGATATTTTAATGTATCGCTTTCAATCATTTCTATTTCAATTTTAACATCATCATATTCAGAGGTTATGTGAATTGATTGGTATTCGTTATTTATGGCTAATCACATTATTGTGGTTTTAAGGGCAAAAAATGGAATAACAATGTCACGACATTTCATTTCTTCTCGAATAGGGACAATTTATCAAAAATGACTCTGATTGTCAAGTAATTGAATAATCGGGAGAATTTACGTACAATATTTATACCTTGTTTGTTTCTGATTAAAATCAGATTTTAATTTAAGTCAAATTCAAACAATCAATATTAACCACATCTTTCATGAGTTCCACCACTTTTCAACCACAAATTTCAAAAATTTCTATCACAATCTACTGAAAATCTAATTTTAATCCTCACCAAACGCCCTCTTAGTTTACATTTATAGAGAAGAGTATATATTGAATTATCACATTTTATTTTAACAGAAAATAATATTCATTTCCTATCTTATGGAACCTCTTTGATCATATGATCTTCTTCGTCCGATGATGCTATGGTTTTTCTTTTTTTCCCATCACGAGTCTTTTACGGCGTTGCGCGTTTGTATGGCTTGGAAGAACATTCCCTTGTCAACTCCTCCCCCTCCGAACGAGGACTTGAGCAATGGTTTGATTTAAATATTTAATTTAATCAAGAACTTTAACCCCACATGGATTTAAATTGTTTATTTTCTCCTTCAAGAACGTAAAATTAATTTATTCTAGTCTTTGTCATATTGACCATCATGTGCTACGTCTTCATAGTCATTATCGAGTTATAACTTTGAAATATCAATTCTTTTGGTCATTTAAAAATTTCAATTTGATTAATAAAATAATTAAGTGTAAGATTCCAGTTGACTGTCTTCTTTTTTTTTTTAATCTTTATACCCCCCATAATGGATATAATTGAATTTAAAAAGTTGATAAATTTTGTTATGTATTTTTTTTAAATTTCTACCTAATCTTGCTTATCATGCTCGGATTAGATTAATAAAACACCCAGATTAGAAAGATTAAAATAATGATATCCTTGATTTATTCCGATTTTCTTGAAATTGTAATAGTTGATTCTTCCGTTCGAGGATATCTACATGTACATATACAGAAGCATTACAGATACTCACAAGGGCAGGGCAGGGCAGGACGGGGTGGGTGGATAATTTTTTTTTTTTTACTTTTTTATTGTGCGAGACCACTCTCATGTGAGACAGTGTAAGGCTTTTGTAATGTTTTTCTTTGGTACAAATGGAAATTCCTGCTTCTGTTTTGTTATGCTTACACTGTTTATTGATGGTGATATGAAAAATATTTTCCACAAAATTATCTTGGTTATTTTCAATTTTGACTTGACTTTCTATTACAATTTAGCCATAATTAGACATGTCACACATGATAATTGCCCAGACAAATCATACACCGTCTAACACGGAACACCGTGATTATCTGTATAATGTTGATTTCCCTTAACATAGAATGATGGTTTAATTTTGGGACCCGCACAGTTGAAATGACGGTCCAAACCTTTGGTAAAATATATCGAGTTAGAAATGAACCGAAAACCGGCCCAAAAAGATATTTTCATTGAGACGTTACATTTTTAATGGTAAAAAGGTTTATTTTTCAGGTTTATGAAGGTTATGGGATTATTTGTTTACGTGCGATTATTCGCTTACAATTTTCTATTCCATAAACAAATTAAAGTACAATTTGAAGTAGAAATAATTCACGTCTTTCATATGGAAATTTTGCAAAAAATGAATATAATGGAGAAACTCGATCAAAATTTCTTGCCAATTATATTATTTTATTAAATGATGCGAAAATTTAAATCTTTCAAAAATACAGTATAGGAAAGAGAGTAGCGAAGGGTATAATTGAAAGAGAATGGAATATTTTGTGGGAAAAAGTGAGTAGAGTCAATAGTGGGGGTGGTTGTTGACTCATTACTCAGAGGTCTTTGCCCTACTTTTGGAGTCATATCGTAAGCGCTGACGTATGAGTTGACTTGGACAAAGCCATTGTCAATCATAACAAAACTTGTCTTCATCCTTATTATCTCATGATGTAATCCAAGACGATTAGTCAAGCTTTTGAAGGGCAAAATTTACAAATTATTTATAAATTTATTTATTCACTCGTATCATCTATTTATTTATCACGACTTATAAATTAAAGGATTTTACTATTTTGTACATAAAAAATGTCTATGATGGTTTACATAATATGATGTGGAGGAAAAATATTATATGAAAAAGTTGATTGTATTTTAAATTGGCAAACAATAGAGTTTCATGTTGTATTGTGTAATTCATTATGTAAATCTTAATGTGCATTTGTTATTCTAAATTAAATTGTATATAAATTCTTCCCAAACGAAACCTAAACTTCTTTGTTCAACGAAATATTGAGCAGTTAAATTATTAGTAGCTAGTTGTATAATTTGCTAGATCGAGCTACTTGAACTTGATACGAAATGACCCCTGGGGATAGGATGCGTTACAAGCCATTATAGTGATTCAAGTCACACCGACATTAAATTCTATCCATTACGATGATCTATTTACTCTTACTTGAAGTGTTAGTGAATCGAACATTAAAGCACTATGGAAAATATTCATTGACTCAAATATTGACATTAAACAACAATTTAGTTCAATGAACACTCAATATAACCTCAAGCAATGCATGTAACTACTACGATCCAAATATGTGGAAGATTTGTAGTTGTAAAGATCCATTTTTGTGTTAATGGGCCCACCCATCTTACATAACTATCACAATTAGATATGAACATATCTTCCGTAGTTAATTTCTACGATAGATCATGCCGTAGTCATGCACATCTCACACATTATTACGTACTGGTATTGACAAAAATGGTTGAATAAACGTTGCTAGTAATCCAAACTTGATTACACATCTTTTCCTACATTGGCACCAATTTGATACATGCATTTCTAATGAATTTCTCAAGGTTGGTATCCATGTTTGATTTATGGAGTCACAATCATGGCATTCACTTTTCACTCCATATTTAGTAGTATTTTCCTATTTGGACATTAGGCACTTGTTTAATTTTCATTTTTTAAAAAAATACACTCCTCTCTTTTTTTCAACTACCCAATCTTCAATAAAATAATATTACACACAAACTCAAACATTTTCCTTGTTTTTCTCTATCAATCTATTATTTCAAAATACATTCTATACCAAAAATGGAACTCAAACGGACCATAACAATCGAGCTTAGCACATCCCAAACAAAAACATAGGCCAGACTTATCCATATTCAAGTCATACCGGGACTTCAAGGGCCCGTTTGATATTTTTTGAATATATTTAGATAATTTTCTAAAAATACTTTGTATAATTAGAATTTTTTTTATAGAAAGTTAATTCAAGATAACTTTCTCGAACAATCTTTTATAGAAAGCAAAAACAGAAACTATACCAAACACACTCTTAACTACAATGTGCACGTTTTGTTTTTAAATTAAAATTTTACCTGCCATAAAATTTGTTTTTCAAGAAAGGCCACAAAAAGTAGTTTACATATATAACTCTAGTAAAAATTATACTAGAACGAATTTAAAGATCGCACTTCAAAAATCAGATATGAAGTATATTAAATAAAAAATCATGTGACAATTTAATATTTTAATATGAATAATTATACTATAAATTATTATATATAACTACATCTCCCAATCCAATTAAACTCTCAAACCTTAATTCATTTCTCTCTCTCTACCCACCGGCCGTGACCATTGCGAATCGCCGCCACACCCAATCTATTCTCCAACCAATAACATAGTAGAGATGCGCCACAATCTCTTCTATGGCCCTCGCGTTGCATTCTTCTATTCAACTTTGGAGCATCCACCGGGTCCATTCTTTTCATCATCATCAACAAACAGATGAGCCAAGGAGCTCTAATCTGACCTGACATTGCATGACTTGAGTCGGTGTTCGGTGAAGTTGCTATAGGAAGCTTGGCATTTGGAAGTGGAGACCAACTAGCAACAACGGAGCTCAGGCAAGAAGGAGATGACGATGTTGGCGGCGGACGAATCAAACGGAGAATCGTTCAAGAAGATAAGAAGCGTAAATGTCGGTGATCGGTTCATCGGGTCTGAGCTCGAGTTGGTTACAGGATCGACTTTGTGATTCGGGTCCGTTTGAAAGTCATTTGGAGTTGTTGATTTTTGTTGGCAGTGGCGATGGCGGGACGAGAGGGGTGGGACAAGGCCGGATAAAGTGTGTTTGACCAACTATATGATTGATTTGGTTATTTGTGATCGACCATTTAATTGTGACTTAAAGATTCGATGATTTGTAACTGAAAAATAATTTGTAACCAATTAATTTGAAAATCAATGACCGTTAAATAAGTCGAGCTATAAAATTTGTAATTACAAATAAAATTTGTGATCTATAATATTTTTGATTTGTAATCGAAAAATAATTTATAATTAATTAATTTGATAATATGTGATCAATAAATAAATTGTGACATAAAAGTATATAATTGTTACTTTAATATATTTAATTATTTAGTTATCACTCGAGTTTTGTAAATTTAAACTTATTGTCTGAATTTTGATTCGGCCTATATTTTACATGATTTTTTCCCCCAAAAATCTATAGAGTCCTGACATCGATAATAGCCCAAAATCTCACTACAGATTCAGGTCCACATCCTCAAGGAAGCCCAACCTTAGAAAACATTTGCTGGATTAAACCAGACCCAATACAGCCCACCTCAAAATCAGGCCATAGTAGCTAGCAAAAGCCCAATTTAATCTACTAGTTGAGCCTAATGGCCCAAAAATGAATTTAACGATATTTTCTTGTAGAATCCAATTTCAAAAGGGAACCTCTTAAAAAGCAAAGACAGCACAACAAAATCCAGTTAACATTGTCCGAGATACCAACTACACAATAAAAACCATTGACATATTCACTGATATTGCCTAAACATCTAACTTATACACAACAGGAGAAATGAATATTGATATATACACCTAACAAATTGTAAATACTTTTCTTTTCAAGGCAAGGCTACAACGTAATACAGACTCGTGAAGAGTGCATCTCACAGTTAATCCTCGGACTCTGCATTAAGTAACCATGATAAATATTCAGGACCCTCGCGCATAACGGGATCTGATTCACTAGGTGGTATAATCCTTTTCCGCAACAGAGTTTCAATAACTGGGTACTTCCTTTTCCTGCCACCTCTTGATCTTAATCGAAATTGTTCATCGGACTCTTCGAAATTTCCCTGAACACAAGTGGACACAAAATTCAATATCAGATCCATTTCCTGTAAAGCAAAGGTCAAATGAAGCATATAACTTACAGACAAAGTAAATGGAATACGTTACCTGAGTATAGATATGGCACCCAGATTTTTCGTGGTTCTCTCTCACATGTTTAAATGCAAATTTCATGCCACAACCAGGAATACCACAGGTAAATGGTTTAAGATCCAAGTGCACAGCTTTGATATGTTGTTTGAGATTTGATCTCTGTACAAGAAAAGTGAAGGTTAAAGATGGTTCGAAGCAAAGAGGGAAACCATCACGCAATATATTTTAGCAAATTCTGTTGACAAACATGTTCCAAAACTACTCAACGTTAATTGACAAATGTGTATACGACATGCATGCACCAATTAAAAATATAATGCAAATGGACGAATGAGTGAATGTTAGGTTGGTAAAATGTTGTAGCTGCTTACATTTGAAAATGTATGCACGCAACCATCGAAGCTACACTTAATTCTATCCGAGGAAACCCCCACTTCATGTGTTCGAAGATGACGCTTAATATTTTTCTTCAGCTGCTTGTTCCCACATATCTCACAGGCAATGTACCGATGACAAGACAAAAGATGCTCCATAAGGCAGTGCTTATTCGTGAAATATTTCATACAGCCTGGTTCTGAACATAATGCCTCCACTGTATCCAACTTAACTGTACCCAACAGTGTGTGCAAGAGGTTCAGAAAAAGTAGTTAGTGTGGCTCACACACACACACACACACACACACACATATTGTTATCCAACAAAACTATCTAACCCGAATTTAACTTGCTTAAAGAGAAATTCCAAAAGGAAAACAGCTTACTGTGGGAGTCTTCGTGTTTACGCAATTTGGACGGATACTTGAACACTTTTCCACATCCACTTTCTGGACAGATATATTTTTTGGAACGCTCTGCATTAAGAGAAGAAGATTCGCAATGGTTCTCTTTCACATGACGCTTCATATTACCCTGAAAAGCAAATCGGCGTTTACAGTCCTCCACGGGGCATTCAAATAATTTCCCTTGATGCTGAAGCAGATGTCGTGCCAAGTGGTCCTTCCTCCTATAGCAGGAGTGGCAGTCATCCACTGGACATGTAAAAGGCCTCTGTAACAGAACAAATTAAAATAAGAACAGAATTGTGGTATAACCTCCCTTACGGAAAAGACTTGAGTTCTATTCCAATATAAAACCAACACGATCCTCAAACCTCAAAGCAGTACAAGCGTGATCGAGGCTCACTTGATGGAGCTTCACAGGTGGTCCCCCACCTGATACTAATCCATTCAAGGTATGTTGCCACCTCTTGCATTTTGGAGTTCTTTTCGGTGGGATCCAATGCTTCACGCTCATCCATTAAACATTTTTTTTTCCACAAATCAAATCAGTACAAGCGTGATTGAGGCTCACTCGATGGAGCTTCACAGGTGGTCACCCACCTGGTACTGATCCATTCAAGGTAATGCTGCTGCCTCTTGCATTTTGGAGTTCTTTTCTGTGGGATCCAATGCTTCACGCCCATCAATAACAATTTTTTCCAGAACACTTCAATCTGCAACATCATATTTTTTCATTTGCAAAGATACCAGAAATAAGAAGTGTGTTATTACAGTGTTGAAGCACAGTAACAAGTCTAGTCTACTATTTCAAGTATTAACGCATGATAAATAAAAGCATATCGTTCAACCAGAAGCTAGTCATTAAAATCCAGGAGGATTTTGCAATATAGCAACCAGATGCAAATTTAGATTACTTTTGACTTTCTAAATTGCCCCTCACATTTAATTTCAAAAAATAGCACCGAGTGCATGAAAAAGACATCCCTAATTATGATTCATTAAGACACAAAAGAATCATGTCTGTGCATCATACATTTGAGTATCGCATCTTATCCTATAAAATGTTTTTTTAACACTTGACAATTACAATAAAAAGCAGTTTAAACAAAAGCTTCGCCGCATACTAACAAATCACTAGGCAAATGAAAACACACGACATTGCAAAACAATCGATGTTACAATCAAATGACCCAAAAGATGACAACTTACCTCGAGGGAATGGCTTTGCGTATGTTGCTTTAGATGAGCCGGCTTCTTGAAACACACACCACACTCTTCACAAGCATTCAATTTTTTCCCTTCCTTTATTTCTACCTTTTGCTCTTTTTCCTTTATTTCCTCCTATAATTCATGCAGCTCCAACTTTTAACAACAATTCACCAGAACAACAAAATCCACACCTAGCAAATTTAAATGATAAAAAACAGAGTAATCACTGAAAAACTTTCTCTCCTCTAACAATCAACACAACCAATTGCAATCCAAATGTAGGCAATATTGTAAGCACAACTATAAGTGTACAGGAGGACCAGTCAGGTGTGTACTCTCTGTGATTATCCTAAAATTCGCTTAAAGATTGAATTCTGATATCAATTCCCCAAACCAACCACCACTTAAATTCCAAGTCCATGTAACTTGAAAAAAAAAAAAAAGTTACACTATGAGATTCATTTCTTCTTATATTCACAAAAAATCTGAATTTCCAATAGAAATTTCAACGAACCAATAACCAATTAAAATCCCCGCGTGTGTATATATTATCCGCTGCAAAACATTTGGGACACGGTGGAATATGTTGTTTGTACCAAGTGATTCGTTGCTTGTAAATCATCCATTCCAAAGTAAATATACAACAATTATATGAAAAGAAAAATTAATATACACTCGCACACTTACACACCTTATGTTGAAGGAGGATATGAGAAGAGATGAGGGATTTTTTAGAGCGACAAATCCCACAGTATTCACAATAATATCTCCTAATATCTCTAAATATCACTTCTCTTCCATCTTGTTCAATACCCATTTTACCAGTGCATAGAGATAGAGAAGAAACCCTTTTTGTGGAAGTGCCGAGACCAAAATTAGGGCTAGCTTATATACAGTGCCTGAAACTAAAAAATCGTGTCACTTTAGTCACCAAACTTTAAAATTGTTCTAATTAAGTCACTATTAGAATTTGCCGATATTATTGTATAGAGTAGCGGGATAGATAATGAAACTAAAAAATGATTTTTTTATAAAGAAATTTAGAATTAAATATTTCGTTCTGAATTTTTAAAAGAAAATTAAATATCATTACACGATGAATATATATGATCTTTGAAGGGTGGCGTTATCTGAAAAAATAAGCATAAGCTATTTCTTTGCCAGCAACCACGAGCCACGTTAAGACCGTCAATGCAATACATTTTCTTTATGCTATTCCTCCAACATATTTGCAGCCAAGATTCATTTTACAAACTTTGCAACACTTTGCAGGGTTAATTGCAAATGTGAAATTTGGGTGGAAAGAAAATGAATAATAGGAGATGCCCAGCAAGCTTCTTCTCAATGCAACAGTAATTCTTTCGGAGATTTTATGTCACAAAAGATTAATGGAGCTCAAACAACAAGAGATGGCTCCCTGAAACCTGTGCTGGAACTTGTTGCCGCTTGTTTAGCACATGACTTTGTGCATACACTTAGCTTGTTAGGTTCAATCTCCACGGGATGGGAGCAATTCGGGTTCTGTCGCGCTTCTGAAAGAAACCTTGTTTTTCTTAGCTCAGAAATCCACACAACAGCATTAGTATGCTACAATAGAATCTAAGGGCACAAGTAAAGCATCACTAAAAACAAATGTCATTTGCTATTAACCATGGAACTGGAAGAAAGTCACAAAGTCATCTCAAGCTATTGAAGTCTCTTACTTCCTCTCACCCCAAATAAGAACAAGGCTTGGAATACAAAGAAAAATTGTAAATAGCCTCGCTTGTGCATAAAGAACATTGCACTACTGCCACATGGGTCAACGTGATGCCATCACAAAAAAAGACGCTACCAGTTCAAGCAATGAAAATTGAACTGGCAGAAAACAGCGGCCTGAGATTAAAGGGTTCATTCGATTTCATGGGTAAACAAGTTTTGGTTATACTCGACAAGATAAACAAGTCCAAGAATCATAGCCTGCCCAACATCATCAGAATTTTTATATTATATTAGCGCTCTCTCTCTCTCTCTCAAAGTATTTTCTTTACCAAGGTTGAAATTTAATATTCTAATACATTGTTCATCACCATCACTGATCCTATATTATCATTGTTTATGAGAAGGGTAGCATTGATTTTGCACAAAACAAAATTTTGGGAAAGAATGCTGCAAAAAATAAGCATTGCGAAGAGCGCCTAGTATATTTATATTGAAAAAAGTGAGCCATAATTGATAATTTGGACAAGAAAAATGTGGTCATACTCACCTAGATCACTTAAATCCCGTGAATCCAGGTCAGTTCATCATCTCCAGAAGCCTTAGGACAAAAGGCAATCACATAAAGGCAACGAGTGACATTCTTTACCTGCAATAAGCAACACCCATCAACGTTGGAATGCCGAATTCTCTGGTCTCTGCAGCCAAAGGTCAACATTATAGTATTCGAATTACAAAAGAGGGTTCCCAAGCTTATTTCATGTCATCACACCTTATACTGATAAACTGTTCGACAAAATCTATAGAGTGGGAAAGGACAAGGCAAGAACCTTATTATCTGTGAGAGCTGAGAAGTGAGTACAGGTGCATAAAGACAGGATGCACGCCGCGTGAATATAGCAGTCAAGAACCTATTAGATTCCAGTCCATTTGTCTCAGGCACCCAATGGCAGAAAGAAACCCGGTTGTGAGCATAAGTCACCATTCCACAAAGAATCCATCTCATTCTTAAAGTCCTGTCTTATCATTGATTTCCTTCTCATAAAGCCCATCAAGCACCACTTCAGATGAATCACCACTCTTGCTGAGATGATAGTCATATCTTGCCGTTGGAAAAGCTCTCTAAAATTGGAATAACAAAATCACCATCTCTCGTGCCAAGTTCATTTTCATTACACACCTCTCTTCTATCCTCAACTTCTGACCACTCTCTCAATTCTTTAGTATTACGACACCCCAATAAGATAATCTCCAACATTTTCCTCCTCACATCATAAACCGGATTTGGTTCTACCACACACCCTTTATCATATGCTTCCCTAAGATAAACCATTTGTGTGTTCCCTCTAGTCGAAATATAAAAAATCCCTGGGTGTTTCAAAAGAAGCTCGCGAATGTTAACCTCAACACCAAGATCCTTCCGAAAGTGAGCCAATCTCTCAACCTCCACCTTTTTCTCAACCGTCAAGCACAAGAGCTCGTGAAAAATACCTAATGCTCGCTTTTCGTACCTTTCAACTCCTCCACAACTACGGATGCTTACATTTTCCATTCTTTCATATGGCTTCACATACGCAAGCCTTTGCCAATTCCTTAATTTCTCCCTAAATCCTGGAACTATCATAAACCCCGTTGGGAAATTAATTGGAAATGCATATTTTGTCTCGAATTCACTCAACCATTTCTCTCTATACTCCTTTTCCCTCCACATCTCAACATCCGCCACATAACTTGAACTCTCATTATTTTCATTCCTATCAACCAATTCCATTATCTCCAAATCAACCAATCTAAAAATATTATCATATTTTTGAATAATGGACTCCCTAAAATCTTCAGGCAAACCTAGTTCTCTCCTAATCAATCTAATTGCATGTAAATGAATTTTCCCATTCACAGACATCATTAATATCTTTCTTATCTTAACCACATTAATATCTTCCATTTCACATAGAATTTCATCTTCTCGCTTTAACAATTCGATAAATTTCGGCGTAAATTTACAGCAAACATTTCGCTGGATCGGGTGCGTAAATACCTCGAACACATGGGGGTATTTCCGTATAAAAGCGCCGGCAGTTAGGGTATCGATTCCGGCGTGTGGAGCCCATCTGGAGAGGAGCTGTACTGAGACAAATGGCCCACGTTTCTTGGCGGAGATGAGCCTGTGGAGGCTCAGAATGAGTTCGAGCCGGCGGTGGTGGAATGTAAGGAGGTCGAGTTTCGGGTCCCGGGTACGAGTCTCTAAACGGGTCTGAGCCGTGTTGGCGGGTTTCTTGAAACGGGTCTGGATTGTGGAGTTGAATGGGCCTCGTTGAAGAGAGGTGGTGAATCTTTCTATGATTCTCATAATGGAGAAGCAAACGGAATGAAGAACAAATGGGAATAGCGGGGAGCTCTGTTACATCAGTTGATTGTTACTGGCAAGTTTGGAGTTGAAGTTAGTTTGTGTTTTTTTATTTTTTTCAATACTTGTTTACAATGCTTGAAAAATGTCAAAACAATAGCAAAACGGCTCATAAATAAGAAATAGGTGAGGGACCAAGTTACAACAAATATCATAAATGGGGACTCGTACTGAAAACTTTCGAAGAAAATACAGCACAAAATAATTGGGCTGGTAGGCTTATCCAAAAAGCCGAATGCCAGTAAGAGATATGGCTCTCCTTCTCTTTGCCGGCAATCCCACCACTCCCTTCTTCTCACTTTCGTCTTCATCGATTCATTCTGCAATTACTGCCCACCCACGTAAGTACAAGCAAGTCATCTTTGTTTAGTACTTCGGTACGATAATGCTTCCTTAACTATTGCAGCATTCTACAATTCTTTAGCTGTTGTATGTATGAATATCTTTGTGTGCGCGAATATGTCATTGTATGTCACCCATTATCTGGGCTGTTCTTATTTCTTTTGCAATTTTTTTTTCTAGCCCCTTTTGCCAGGCAGTTTCTTTGACTATTTATATCGAAGACGTAGTCTCCATTATATCCTGAGTATGTATGTCACTGATTGTTGTTTTGCATATTGTTATTTGAACATCAGCTTCTTGGAGATCGTCCGAACCCAACTTTTGTAGTTTTTTACCAAGGATTTGATTTGGATACTTACTTTTTGATAAACTAAAACTAAGCATATGAAGTTAGTAGTTTAGATTGCTCATCAAGGGATAAAGATTAATAACGGCAATTTTGCTTTGTAGTTCTTTTTGATATATACTCCCAGCCTTGTTTGTGAAGTTGATAGTATTCTTGAATTTTGTAACTGGGTTCTTTTATTAGTTTCCAGGTCGTGCAACCATTTGGCTTGCCTAAAGCCAAAATTAGATGTCGGGTACAGAACTCTAACTCCATTTATTCTCAAAAGGAGAGGTTCATTGATTGTTAAAGTATCTTCTGATGTTGATGGGGTAGGCTCCACTGATCGGGAGTCTCCTGCCCCTCCATCAGAAAGTAATGAGGAAAATGTGCCCATTGAGAACATTCCTCTGGAATCCAAGTTACAGCTGAAGCTCGAGCAGAAGATGAGAATGATGGCAGCAAAGAAGCTTAGGCTAAGGAGAAAGAGGCTTGTTAGGAAGCGTCACCTGAGGAAGAAGGGACGATGGCCTCCTTCAAAGTTGAAGAAGAACAAGAATGTGTAAACTTTACCTCAATACATCTTGCAGGTGTTTATAGTGACTTGTTTCCTTGCCATGTCATTGCAATTCATCTTTTGTGACTTCAAATTCATTTTTTTTTGTTTAATGTAATTACGTTTAAAATATCAGTAGATATTGTTTTTCAATTTTAAGGTTTCAAAATTTATGGACGAGGCTCGTGTTTAATCCATTCTATTAAATCAATTGGGCTGGAATGTTGTGTGTGGAAGCCAAGCGGCACGCTAAGTGTGTAGGCCAATTAGAGATACGGTTGATCATAACCTCAAACGAGCAGTTAATGCAGAGATACAGCTGATGATCATAACCTCATATTACAAGCATCAGAATGGTTTCACATACAAGTAGTGGCGGATCAGGAATTCATCTGACTTAGGATTAGGAGTATCCAAAAGTCCCGAACCCGAACTGAACCGAGTGGTTCTTCATAAATTAAATACCCGAACGGGTACCCGAATCGAGAATCGATAGATTTGGATCGGGTCTAGACCAAGAACCGAAACTAAATAATTTTTTTATTTTTTATATTGAATTAATTAAATTAAATTATTTTTTTCTAAACAAATTAGCAAATTAATTAAATAAATCAAATTATTTCATAATTTTAATTTTAAAGTCCAAATCATTTTTAAAACCCATTATTCCATTTTAATTTGAAGCAAATGAATATACTTTATGTAGTGTTGCGGTAAGATTAATATCTACTTTTTGTTATTTGTATGCATTGAATTAATTTTATTGGACGGTTAGTTATTTATATGTTTTTGAATTGGGTTACGTTAATTTGTAAAAGTTACGAATGAAATGTCATTAGTTGTATTTATGTAGT